TGCTCTCCTCCAGACTGTCAAAAGGTCCAGGCGGGTCGTCCAGACACAGAAACTCTCTCACTGCCATGCTGGTCAAGAGAACAAACACCATCAGAACATTTTCAGTCATTTTTTAAGCAAAGTGGGAAAAAAAAATCTGCTTGTTACATAATCTACATAATCGTGTCTCGTACCAGTTGGCGATGTCTTTGTGTGCGACGAGGTTTTGCAGAAAGGCCTGCAGTCCGAGCTGTCTGTCCTCCAGGAAGTCGGTGTCGTAGTTGTCCTTGAACCAGCGCTTTGGAGGCAGCGAGAGGCGGAAACCCGGGAACATCTCCTTCAGCTAAAAACACAAACATGCACAAAGGCATCATGTGATGATGTCCACTTTGTAGAGCAGTTGAAAATAAATATTCTCTCCATGGGTCAAAGTAGACAATAGAGACAAAGTGAGCTAAAGTGTAGAGAGAGAGAGAATTTCTTGTGGGTGGCGTTCACGTTTGGGGTCATTATGTCCGGCTGAACTGACAGAGACATGAGGTGGATGTTTAAAAGTCAACACAATGACATTTCACTGACTGCACAAGTTTTCTCCAAACATAATATCAAAAAACACATCACCAAAAAAAAGCCTTTATACATCTCAGAAACATTGCCCGCCTCCGTCCATCACTCCCTCTCCTTTCCAGCTGCTGAGACCCTCAACTTCAACACCTCCAGACTGGACTACTGCGACAGTCTCATCGGGTACGGGTCGCTAAAACCAAGAATACTCACAGCTTAAAGGTCTCTCACCTTAATGCAGTGGTGGGGATGCTTCAGTGAGTTCAGCAGGAAGTATCTGACTGATAATCTGATTCAAGGAGAACATTCTTTCTATTCAGAGGGGATTTGATCAGAAGTGGCTGAACAAATTGACCTCTGGGGATAAGAAAGATTTCTTTGTGTCGTAGTGCTGGTTGAATTTCGTTTGGTTCGGGCTCCTTGGTGGTCCTCATTTATTCTTTGAGCCGTCCCCTGAAGCACAAGGCTGCTCGTGTGTTTTGTTGCTTTAATCCAACGCATGTTGTCAGATGGCAACGGTGTGACCTTTCATGTGCAGCAGAGTGCCAACCGACTGGTTTCACTGAGCTTTCAGCTGTTTGATATTAAAAATAATCCTTCTGGTGCCGGATAAAATATTTGACACTTAAAAGTAATTTAGCAAGTGACATGAAAACAGCCAAGTGCTTCAGATCTAAATGTAAAGGCTCTCAGGGAAAGAGGAAAGAGTGGACACTGAAACGAGTTCTTTTAACCAGAGTTCACGTTAAATATAGAAAGATTTACATTAAAAGTAGACTTCAAATATCTTTATCGAGCATGCAAGTGATTCTTTGTAAGATGATAAATAGACACAAAAAGCATAATGACTATCAACTCCTTGCATGTACTCTAGAGAGGAGGGGGGGAGACAGCTCTCTGCAATGTTCTGAATTTAGAGTGCAGTACTCATTTTAAACGCTAGGTGTCAGAGTTACATACCGCTCCTTTAATATCTATATTTTAATATGAAAAAATACGGCACCCTAAACCGTTTTTTAAGAAAAGAAGTTAGAGATGAAACTGACACCACTTTCACTTTTTAGGGGCATTTCACATTCTTCAGTTTATCAGATATTGTGATGCATTATTTTATGATTGTCCTGCAATAAATCAATAACCACAGAGCCGCCGTATCGTGATATTATCATTAACACAGGACATGTATCACATATTGTATCATAGCATGGCGCTCTTACCGTTCAATCCCCGACCCTTAATAAAATAAATGTGCAGTGCAAGCTTTCTGGCCTCTGGGGGACGCTGAGGTTAATCCCTTTTGTGTCTCTTTCCCTCTCTTCTCACATTCTATTTTTCTGAGTCCTGGGAATTCAGAAGGAATGCAAACAAACACACATTTCCTTATTCGATAACCCAGTTACCACGCACTCTGAGATGTGTCTCACAGAAGGACAGCGGCGTGGTCGCCGGCGCTCGATAATAAATTCAGTGAGGTTTGAAGAATATAGAACATGTTTGCCCGCAGTTTTTAAAAACATCTACAGTTTGGAGGATGGCGATCATACCGACACTCAGCAGGGAGGAGGATCGTTTTACAGGCGGGGTTGAGATGTTTCTATAGATGATGTTATGGTTGTCACATTTCGTTAAAATCTCTGCTGCATAAACTTCTGACCTGCAATCTCACAGTTCCCCGTCCTGAACTGGCCACCTTAGCAGGACTCCGATGGAAACAGTCAAAGGATTTATGTTTCCAATGGAAAGCAGTTTCTGAATGTGTTGGCAGCTGTTGGAGCTGGTGTGTGCCGACATGAATGCACACCTGCTTATTTCATGACCTGAGAAGTTGTGTTGCAGGATACCAGAATTTTAAACGATATTTAACTAATGAAATCAAACATTACCCCTACCTGTTTTGGTACCAAGGAAACAAAAAGTCTTGGCTCGTATTATTGGGTCATTTGTTTGTAATTCACCAAGGTTGCAGGAAGCATCCTGCACACAGTCTTATTGTCAAATCTGTTGGCAATGTTTAGGTACAGAAGCGCATTTGTGCCATTTTGGAACTCATCTGCTATTAGTTGACTACCATAACGATTCTGGGAGTGATATAGTACTTTCACACTTGCAGAAAACTCCAGAAAAACTCCTGATATTTGAATGAGGAGTGTCATTTATTCCCTGTGATCACTGTACGACCATAGACTGTCTGCACGCAACCTCTACCATCTCCGTGCTCTAATGAACCTGCTGCTGCATGTTTCCTGTTCTCCAGTATGTTCTTCTCCACTCTTTAGTTCACATTGTCATTCTGTTGACGATTGATTCTGCGAGACGTGTTGAAAGTTGTTGTGCTATTAGGTCGACTTTGAGACGACTGGAGGCCGAAATGTTCCATATTGTTGTTTTAAATGTTTGATGCATTTCAGGAGGTCGGGATATCTCAGCACTGATTGTCTTTTGGGACATGGCATCAAGATTTGTTACTCAAGCTCAGTCGGAGCGCACTCTGCTGGACAAACAACATGATGATACATGAGAACTGTTGGCACTGCACTGTATGTTCTGTTCAACATAAGTTGAATTGGTGCATATTCCAACACACACACGTTTCTAAATGTGATGCAGATTGCATCAACTGGCTGATATATCGGAAAAAAGAAGTGGGTTAATCTGGCCGTGTGAACAAGGACTTAGATGAGAGTGATGTTGGCCGAGGTCCAAACTAGCGAACAAATAATGTTTGCAGCAGCCACATGGAGAAGAATGAGGCAGCAGCTCTTCATACTGAGAACCTGTTCATGTGTCACCACTTTGCATCACATGTTTTTCATTGAGCTCCATATGCAGCTGCAGGTCCTTCTAAATAACTATTCTGTCATAGTTTACAGATTAAGTCAAACTAAATTATGTTTTGCATCATCCAAATGTTAGTGCATGTGTCCAAAAGTGGAAATATTTCCATGCAGTTAAATCTATTTGATCAATGAGTCGTCTAAACATTCAGCACATGCTGAGAAAGACGGTGCAGCACATGGGGAAGATTACAGCTGCTTCTGTGTAAAAAGCCACAGGAATGGAGGAGGATGTCCACACCCCCTCCCGTCCTTCTTATTGAAAGTACATGTAGGGTGTTCCCAGCTTCTGTCTTTGCTCTTTTCCTGCCTGTGTTTACATTAGTAAATTGAGGTCTGCAGTGTTAGGTTTAATCAATATCACACAAGCCGAGCTACAGAAACAACTCCTGCAGGTTTGATGCAGTTTTCCAACTTAGATTCTTTCTCCTCAAAGAGAATCATCACGTGTTTTGTTTTTTTCTCCGCTCTATAATCTGTGACCCAAAACCATGAGAGACCTGTTCTCCCAGTTGGCTCAGACCTGCTGGCTATTTGGGAATAAAAGCTTCTTTGTGCGGCTCTAACACTTCCACAGTGTGCTCTGAAAGCGTGCTCAAAGCAATGAGCAGACAGTCAAACACAGTGTCTTCAAACACACAGATGAACAAGCACAAAATAAAGCTTCAGTGAGACGACACACAGACACACACCTTGTCGTTGAGTCTGGAGAAGTCTGTGTACCTCCTGAAAACGACCCAGCTCTCGTCCGCGCTCTTCCTCACCAGGACTTTGAACACCTGCAGCGAAAGTAAGACAATAAAAACACAAGTTAACGACTGTAAATGAACACACTCTGTACCTGTTTGCAGGGAACTTGTGAGAGATTTAACCAAAGTGATGACGGTGCAAAACAGCTCCTACTCTTCTGACATCGTTAAACTTTACAACTGTAACAAGTCCTGCAAGCCTCGTTCTTTTCTGCATGATTTGACCATAAATAATAAATGTCTGTGTGCACAGTAGGTGTTGACATTAAACTTATATTTATCTAGTTTAGGGGTGTTCAAGTTAATCACTTCTACGATGCATCGCCATGCCGACTTGGACATTTCTGCATTGATGCAGCAACAGAACTTGATCCTTTATTTCCGACTGACGTTGCTTGTAGGTTTTCCGGCTGCAGCTGGACTTTTATAATTAATTTATTGAGGTTTACAAAGTAACAACAGCTGTGCTGACATTGATTTCTGACGCACTGTCTAAATATTAAAAAGGGGAGTTCATATTTATCTGACTGCTCGTCTTCATTGATGGAAAAGTAGCTATGTGCAGCCCATCAAGGTATCGAATCGATTTAGATTTTACCGAACGTAGTCATTAGCAGGTAGAACAAACTTTAACACTTAGTCTAAACCCTCGTCATTCTTTGTGCTTTTTGTGAGGAGAAAATTGCAACGGCCAAAGAAGCCAGCACATGAAGTGTTTTTAATTATAAAACTACAGGTTTTTTAGATTATAGACGACTACAGGTTTTAATTTTCATCAGTTGTTCCAAAGATTGTACCAAAGTTCCAGAAGGTTTTCATGCAGATTTTCTGTTTTCATACCGTGAACTTGGCCCTCTCCTCCATGACCTCGTAGCCCAGCACAGTGGGCGTTATTGGCCTTTCCTCCTCCTCCTCCTCTACTTGCTGGCTCCCCACAGGATCAGAGATGGAGCGGGGACAGGTGGAGTACTCCACGGCGTGATCCAGAGACCCGTTCATCCTGGCCCGAGTCACCGGGCTCTGCAGAGGTGGTGGCGTCCTGCTCCGGCTGCCCCTGTCGATGCAGCGAGATTGCCGCTGAGAAACCAGCCCTCCACATCCTCGTCCGATGAGGTCCTCCCCCGCAGCCCTGGGGAGAGACGAGTCTGAGCTGCTGGAGACGCTGCCGAGTGATGAGGCTCGAGGGGGCCGTCTGAGCTTACTGCTACCTCCAGCTGAGACTCTGTCAAAGGGCACAGGGACAGGCACGAAGGGTGATGCCATCTTTGGGAGCCGTGTGCTTCTGTCCCGCCACCGCCAAGGTTTACACAGGTCTTCACACAGACGCTGAGCGATCACTCAGAGAGGCTGTATGAGGATGATGAAGTGAGGCGGTAATGCTCACCCTGATGGACTGTCAAAAACCTGAACACCCTGTGCAAAAAAAAAAAATGAGATTTGTAAAGTTGAGAGTATTTATAATGATTAAAGGACTCTAAGCTTCAAGTTACACCTACTGGAGCATAATCTGTCAGCAGACATTAACCTAAGGGTACCACCGAGTGGGGGACGAATGAATAATTGACACGAGCCACATGTCATTCATATTTTATGGATTTGTAAATTATGTGTAAAATCCATGATGTAAAAAAGGCTTAGAAAGCAAGTGTGTCTGATCATATAGTCAGGTGGTTAGCTTTAGTCTGCCTGCTCCAGATGTAGCATAAAATAAATCAGCTATGATGATTTGACTCCACAAAGAGGAAGAGGAACCTGCCTGGTGGATTTCATGCAGAAGCTAAGCCTGACATTGATTTTGATCCGATACAGCTACATGTCAAACATTCAATCAGAGCCAGTGGGGCTTCGAGAAGCTGTCACTGCTAACATCAAAGCTGATAAGTATATCAAGGAGTAAAATAACATGTTTAGCCGATTGCCAATTCCGTCAACGATTTTTTCTTTATTTCTTCTTTTGATGTATGACTCCAATAATGCCGATATTTTCTTTCATGTTCCACGGTAAACAGATCAGAGTTTGTACAACAGGTGACTCCTTCTGTCCAATCAAAAGCATTTTTTTTTAATGAGTAGTTCGGTGTTCTAGATGTCAGCATAACATTTATGACCTGATCTGATAGGGACTGGCCTACATAAATAAAGATTAAAAAAAACTAACAAGCGTCAAAGTCTTAAGAGGGTTTAAGTTTGATAATGTGATGCAGATGCTGTAAAATCAACGAGTAATCATTTTTAATAATCATGATCTCAATATTAAAACAATCATAGGGGCACTGGTGGTGCAGTGGTTAGTGCGCGCGCCCCATGTATGGAGGCTATAGTCTTCCAAGCAGGTTCGAATCCAGCCTGTGGCTCCTTTCCCGCATGTCATTCCCCACTCTCTCTCTCCCTCCACTGTCCTATCCCTCCAATAAAGGCACAAAAGGCCAAAAAATAAATCTTTAAAAATATATATATAAATAAATATATATAAACAATCCTCATCAGTATTTTGCCATAATTGAGCAGCTCTACTACTGATAATTATAATAACAGATAATGTATCGTAAAACGCGGGGAATCGAAAAAGTATTGAAAAATCGAAGATTATTATGACAACCTTAGTAAGGAGTGGCTAAAATGACAATTAATACCGGTGCTCTCTTTGACTGGCAGCTGTTTCATGGTATACATGTCTAAATATTAGAGCTGGGACTGAACAACACTCCGCCTGCCAAACATCCGGCTTAACACTTCCGGTCATGATTTTAGCATCAGGCGGCTAACGACGTAGCTAACGTTTGGTAAAGGTAACGTTAGCAAGCGAGCTAATGATGATGACGTCCTTTTCACTGAACAATACAAAACTACTTTGGCAAATTGTGGCAAAATGGCAGCTCTACACTCAAAGGTTAACACTACAGATACTTTAAGTCAATTTACTAATTTAGAAAAAAGAACAGCGGAGGATTAAAGTACCGAGCAGACAGGTAGATACATCTTCCGTTAGCAAGGTAACTTAGCTACGGTTTGACAACAGTCCAAGCAAAGTAGCCTAACTGAAATATAATTAAAGCAAAAGCTGCTCATGTTGTTTTAATTACGCCGAATAAAGCAGCAACACTTAATCTTTACACACACATATTTATGTGTTTTCTTTGAGGTATTCTGTTGATGATAAATGAGCGAACACTAAATCAAGACATTTATAAACGAGGTTCTGCGCGTCATGTACCCAACTGACAGGCTTACCTCCTTACATTTACGCTAGCAAAGGAAGCTAGTATGCTGCAATGTTAGATGACCTACGATGACAAGGACTTTCTCTCACCGTGGAAGGTCACTTTGTTCCCCTGCAGAAAATAATTCAATCACACACATGAAGCCCGAAGGGTCGTGTTGCTGTTTATCCTCCGCCCTGTCTCCTCCTCTGACCGCCTCATGTTCACTCGCATGACTACAGTCACAAACGCAGACAGCTGCAGTACGTCTGTGTGGCCGGAAGAGGGCGCTGTGGCAACACATATGTGTGTTGTAATTCAGTATGTAATTCGGTATGTAATTCATACCGAGTTGTAATTCAGCAGAATAAGATGTTTTTATATTTTTCTAGCTTTAAATAAATGTAATAACCGGTAGATCAAATTAACAAAAACACCGACCCGCTGAAGTCCCAAAAAAGTAAACAAAAAAACCCAAAACAATGTATGCACACATGATATCATCTAAATTGTTTTGTTGTTGTTCTTTGTTAAACATCTTTGAGTATTCAGAAAAGGGATATAAAAGTCCATATTAGTCCATATTTTATATATAAAAGTAATATTAGCCTATTATTCATACATATATGTATTTATATTCATGTGTATTTTGGGAAGAAGACCGTATTTTTACAGTATGGTTGAACAAAAAGCATTGTCATATAGTGAGCATCTCTTGGTCAAAACAAGTTCAGGTTACATAATTTACATATTAAGCAATACTACAGGTCTGTTGGGCAGTGGGCCCAACAGAGAATAAACCTTCATAGAGGCAAATAAGGTGGTGAACAAACACATCTGGAATGACCTACACAAACACGACAATGGACATCATGTTCCTCACATTCACACCGCCTTGGACGCTCTGTTTAAGTAGAGATCAGATTTTTGATTTCACATAAACACAACTTTAAATGACAAAGTCTGGTTAACTATTGCAAAATGTTTAATTGGAGTGGGATGTGAGGGCGCAGTGTGCAGGACGTTAATCCCAGATAAAGAGGAGTTGTTCAGGATGCCCATGAGAAAACCTGTGTGACACTGAGTACAGAGGACTGATGTACATGGTTGAAGTAGAAGCAAGAAAAATACAATGTATGTGCCGTTTTTCTTAAACCACATCACATCAAGAAAATCACTTGTGCAAAATGCTTCCATGCAAAAGATTTAAACAGGATTCAACCTTACTGATTCATCACTCTTTTCAAATCAACGCAGAGGAGAAATACAGGAGTGCACGCCCACAGTCAGGGGGGATCTATTGTGTCCAAGAAAACATGATTACCCTCTCAGCTACAGTAGATGTATCTCACCCCCGGTTGAATAACGACGGTCTGCAGGCATGGACGGACTACTGAGCAGGGGGTCAGGGGGCCCAGATCCCAGAGCGTTTTCATAAGTGATTTTTTTTGTTGAAGTCAATCAAACTTTAAAGAGGCTGGAAACAACTACAAGAGACACAAAACTACAAGGAGACACATGCAAATATTGAAGAACAAAGAGCAACCGAAAATAAACAGAAAACAAGAGAAGAGACACAACCCACACGTCTTTTAGTCCCTCACATCCCTCCGTGTCTGCAGGACCTCCAGCCGGGTTCACTCCGGGCTGCAGTATCGACCTGCAAAGAGGGTGGTCTTGGTGGGGATGTGTTTGATGAAGAAGAGGAAGGGGTGATCAGCGATGAAGGTGAAAGGGATGTCGACAGAGCGTATCCCTAAGACGGCACCAGTGGCTGCAGCTGCCTCTGTCCCCTCCTCGTTCACGTCCACAAACGCCTTGTGGACGACCTTGGACAGGAACAGGTCATTGGCTAGAGACATGCCTGTCACAGAGGAGAGGAAGAGCCTGCTGGTCAACCATGCAAACTGAATCAGCTTATTCATTTTTGTGTTTAAAATATGCAGCCGCGTCTCACCAGAGAAGTCGCTCATGGAGACATCGAAAGCGTCCAACATGCCCATCTTCTTCAGGACGTTGTTCAGTTCGTACGTCTCCTCCAGCTTGAATCGAGGAAGTTTCACCTCCACCGTACCCTGATCCATCATGTCCGGACGAGACCAATCCACAAACTTCTGATGGGTCAGCTCCGTCTCCAGCTGGTGTGGAAACAACGTCAACCATCAGTGTGTGTGTTCACTGTGTGTGTGTGTGTGTGTGTGTTCACTCTGTGTTTGTGTGTGTGTTCACTGTGTGTGTGTTCACTCTGTGTGTGTGTGTGTGTTCACTGTGTGTGTGTGTGTGTGTGTGTGTGTGTGTGTGTGTGTGTGTGTGTGTGTGTGTGTGTGTGTGTGTGTGTGTGTGTGTGTGTTCACTGTGTGTGTGTGTGTGTGTGTGTGTGTGTTCACTGTGTGTGTGCTTGTGTGTGTGTTCACTCTGTGTTTGTGTGTGTGTTCACTGTGTGTGTGTTCACTCTGTGTGTGTGTGTGTGTTCACTGTGTGTGTGTGTGTTTGTGTGTGTGTGTGTGTGTGTGTGTGTGTGTGTGTGTGTGTGTGTGTGTTCACTGTGTGTGTGTGTGTGTTTGTGTTTCACGTGTTCACTGTGTGTGTGTGTGTGTGTGTGTATGTGTGTTTCACATGTGTTCACTGTGTGTGTGTGTGTTCACTGTGTGTGTGTGTGTGTGTTCACTGTGTGTGTGTGTGTGTGTGTGTGTGTGTGTGTGTGTATGTGTGTGTGTTCACTGTGTGTGTGTGTGTGTGTGTGTGTGTGTGTGTGTTCACTGTGTGTGTGTGTGTGTGTGTGTTCACTCTGTGTGTGTGTGTGTGTGTGTGTGTGTGTGTGTGTGTGTGTGTGTGCGTGTGTGTGTGTGTGTCTGTGTGTGTGTGTGTGTGTTCACTGTGTGTGTGTTTGTGTTTCACATGTGTTCAGTGTGTGTGTGTGTGTGTGTGTGTAAGTGTGTGTGTGTGTGTGTGTGTGTGTGTGTTCACTGTGTGTGTGTGTGTGTGTGTGTGTGTGTGTGTGTGTGTTTGGTCCTGTACATTCTCCAGGCCTGTGCTGTCGTCCTCGATATCATGGGGCAGGAAGATGATCATACTGAGGTCCTCCCCTTTGTAGGGCATCTCTAGAACCTGTCAAAAAAAACCACTCAATTATCATACAATCTCTCATTTCCACCAAATGTGTGAAACATAATTCATCAGAATCTGTTCACAAACTATTTAAATATCACGTTGCATGGTGGAAAAAAAAACCCAAACATACCTTGATGTTGATCTCAGGAATGGACCTGTGAGCAAATTTGCTCTTCTGTTGCATCATCTTCACCGGTTTGGTGTCGTTCTGTAAGACGACAAAGAGACAAAACAAAGCTTCAGACTCTTCAGGTACACACAACATTTAAAAAATAGCAAACAGCACACACATCCAAAAGGTTGAGTACTGGGTGCTGGACAAAATAACAGATCCAAAGACAGAGAAGACTAAGTCTACACACCAGAAGCTGCTCCAATTAACATTTAATGGGAATTATCGCCACATGTAACTGTGGTTCCCTTGGAAACGCAACATTTAACCCTAAAACAGATCTAAAAGATGTGCATCACTTCAGCTGGAATGTGCTTCTAGTTTCAAGTTACAAAAGACTTACATGCACAACAGTGACATAAAAATACAACTCTGGACGTACTTTAATTTAAAATCAATCCTGTATTTATACGACGCCCCTTGTCTGAAGGATATAATTCCTGCTCATTCCATAAATTCAAAGAGCAATGGGAGCATTTTGTTCTTCACTCAAACCGATGGAGTGAAACAGTCTCTTCTTTAGGCGGCTGATGTTTGAGCGCCAGTGTTTTCATTTGGACCCGACTCTCCTGACACGACTCTCACACATCAGCTCTGTTACAAATTGTTGACTGTTACAAATTAAAGACAGGGTTGGTAATTTTCTAAAACTAGCAAGATTTCGAAAGTAGCATTCCCTCAGTGCTTCGTCTACACCCCACCTCTGTGCTCCCTCATAAGCCACGCCCCCTCACTTACATACAGAGCACAGTCCCTCCAGAAGTGGACCTCAGCTCATCTCTTGTGTAGAAACTACGTCGTCTCAGGTCTCATTCAGCGGTACGTAAACTCACAGTATAAACTCCTAAAGTTATCAGTGACGCTCTTTGAGTGTGAGCTAGAGCACGCAAGAGGTAGAGAGCAAGCAGGGAGAATGGGAGGTGTGTGATTGGTTCATCAGATTAGTACTTCGTGGCAGACATTGGTGGAAGTTTTTACAGAACATGAGTTATTAATTTCTGTCAGGTCCTAAAGACAATTTCAACCAAAATCTAAAAAAGTGGATCTGGAGGAAATGACCAACCCTGCCTTTAACATCCACTATAAACACTTTGATACTTATATCTATATTGTATCTGTCCCTAACAAATAAATAAATATACTATAATAAACACGATAGAAACAGAAAATGTACATCCAGCTGCAGAGATGCCAGCTGCGGAAATACAGAGCGAATGACAGCTGCTCTTCAGTTACCTTATTTACTCTAAACTGATACTCCACAGTGTCCTGCTCCTTGAACTGTTGGTCCCATGTTCCCTTGAAGTAGACGGCGTTGATCAGCGCCAGCCGGGTCGAGTCGTCCACTGCACCCTCAGCCAGCAGGTCCTTGATTTTACCTGCAGGTGAAGGAGAAGAAAATATTTTTTTTGCGTTTTATGACATCATGACAGATATCGGCACAGTTGCGTCTCTAGGGGGTAGAGTCATCAGAACAGGGGAAGGAGTCTTATGAACTCCTACCTTGTGTGTTCTTCTCCACCCAGTCGTTGATGTGGACCCGGGCTTCCTCTGCCTTCTTTTTGAAGTCCACAGACTTCAGCTCAGCGCTGTAGTGTTTTTTTGTGTCTGCTATGTATTCCTAAAATAGTAAAAGGCAGGTTTGAATATACCATCACACAGGAGGGAAACCAGGGACTCCAAGCAGGAAGAACGTAACAACGAGGAAGGATTGACTCAAAGCACCTTTATGTATATGTGACCACATATCGCTGAGGTCACACTACAGATGTTTGTTTATGGGAAAATCTGCAACGAAAAGGTAGCAAGTGTGAAAAGAAGAACAAAAAGGGAATGCTTTATTTCTCTCTGCAGTCTTCTGATGAAATGATATTAAACTCTGGGAGACCGGGCTAAGACTGACACCGTCCTGGCTCGGCTAGTTTTCTGAATGTCATAGGCAAACATCCAGATGCTCTATGTACTCTTTGTTAGTGTAGGAAGAAGGAGAAGAAATGTTGGTTTGCAAGCCCTGATCAAGACCAGAGATGCTGTGTGTCAGAAGTAACTAATCCAGTCATACATATTCAAACACCGCTGACAGGGTTAAGTGTTGCTCAAGGAAACATCGTACATTAAGCTGCAGGAGCTGGGGATCAAACCGACTCTACCAACTGAGCCACAGCCGACCCACATGGCAAGGCAGGCAACTGCTTGGGTTCCTTCCTGGCTTGAATCCCCGTCCTTCAGGAGTCTCTCTTTGAGGAGGTTCCTGGTTTGAGTCCCCGTCTGACAGGAGTCTCTCTGTGAGGAGGTTCCTGGTTTGAATCCTCGTCCTTCAGGAGTCTCTGTGAGGAGGTTCCTGGTTTGAATCCCCGTCCTTCAGGAGTCTCTCTGTGAGGAGGTTCCTGGTTTGAATCCTCGTCCTTCAGGAGTCTCTGTGAGGAGGTTCCTGGTTTGAATCCCCGTCCTTCAGGAGTCTCTCTGTGAGGAGGTTCCTGGTTTGAATCCCCGTCTGACAGGAGTCTCTCTGTGAGGAGTCTGCATGTTCTCCTCGTTCATGTGTTGGTTCTCTCCTGGTACTCCGTCTTCCTCTCACAGTCCAAAGACATGCTCGTTAGGTTAACTGCTGACTATAAATTGTCTGTAGGTGTGAATGTGAGTGTGGCTGGTTGTCTGTCTCTATATGTCAGCTCTGTGATTGGCTGGTGAACAGTTCAGGGTGTAACCCCGCCTCTCACCCAATAACAGCTGGGATCAGCTCCAGCCCCCCCCCGTGACCCAGTCGAGTGACCCTGAACGGGACAAGTGGTAAAGATAATGGATGGATAGTGTTGGTGGCTGATTATTTATAACCTTATGTTGATGAATGTTGATGTAGGGGCCCCCTTTCTCAGGGCCTCAACAGACTGATGAAGACTTCAGGTGAAACATGTCGGGTTTTAAAAGATTTATGAGTTATAATAAAGGTATTTTAATTATTTCCATCCTCATTGTTACATTTTCCATGCTTGGAGTTCCTGGTTGAAACCCCCCCACCCTTCGATGTTAAACCGAGCACAACACCTTATTAAATCTGTAGGACTTCTCTCCATACAGCCTGTTGGCAACACTGAGCGCATACGGAGCGTCCTCCTTGTTGAGCTCGCTCAACAGCTCACCAAACTTAGCGTGGACTTCATCGTCACCATTCTGTGGTTTGAGGCACTGCAGAGAGCCAGAGGAGAGAGAAGCATGAGCACAGCTGTGTGTAGGTATTTATTCAGTGGGCCCTTTGCTGAGTTCACCTGTTAAACGATGAGGAAAGACCCCAACCATCATCACAACCTCAACACTCACTAAAGCCTGTTAGCTGATCTAAAATAATCCATGGCTGAGGTTTTAAAAAGAATGAACACTCCTTCATGTTAGTAGATATTTTATCTGCTTGTTTTATGCCTCAAATGACTCAAATTCTGTCAACAAAGTTTTTGCAGATTATTGGAAACATCGTCACTTAGTATTTATTTCGTTCTGTCTTTGTTACAACCTGGCGCAGGTACGCTGGCAGCCCGCTTCTTTTCTGCAGCTGCATCTTCATCTGCAGCCGAGTCTGCATCTGCCTCTCAAAAGGGTACTGCATGTGTGTCCTCAGCTGCATCTGCTGTTCTTCCATTGGTTGGTCCCCCTCCTCCTTCGTTGGTCCCCCTCCTCCTCCGGTTGGTCCCCCTCCTCCTCCGGTTGGTCCCCCTCCTCCTCCGGTTGGTCTCCCTCACTGAAGCCCAGGACCTAATGGGCAGGAAGACTGTCTTATCATGCGGATCATTAAATTCAACATGTATCGTTTTTGTGTGTGTTTGGCTTTGCAGACCAACACAAGTTAGAGGAAACGTTCAGAGTAAAAAATACAGTATGCTCCCCCCCTGAGTGTCAGAGGACAGAGTAGGGCCCTTGCTCTCGCCTTATTGCGTTTTAGGCTCCTCTTCAGACACCTTTGCTTTTTATAGTAACATCCAGTAATGTAAAAAAAATTATCGCTAACTTGATTTTAAGTGAATTGATCTGATTAATCATCCCCACGCACACATCATCATCCCTTCTCTGCAGTTTCTCAGAATATGAAGATCAATGCTTTATACGTCGTATAGGGGGGGGGGGATTCCCACCAAATATTGTTGCATAAGTATTCAACATAATGCAGGGAAAAGTGTCCTTTTTATTTTTCTCCTCTGCACCTCAAACAGTCAGAGCACGGCAGTGGATGCGTTTAACAAGAGGACACAGTGAAATGCAGTGTCATGATCCTCAGGCTGTATCTGCATCACGTAATGCATCCTGGTACATGTAGTCACTGACGACAACACTTTGCAAGGAGGACAAGGAGAAAACCAAAGCTGTTCAGCTGCACACACACACACCCACAGGCATGCATGTACACACAAGACTTCCTCTCCCTAACTGATGACTCTCAGGCGGGATTACTTTATTTTGTTACCCTGGAGACAGGTCGCTCTCAGTCACTCCTTCTAAAGCTGCGGCTGCTTTGATCAACTTCACATCTGGCTCAAGGGCAAATGTTGCACCATCGACATCACGTGTTGACAAACAGGTTGTCACTTTGGAAACTCCCTCTCCTCTTCTCCTGCATTATCTGCACCAGTGAAAGGTGAATCATTAGATCTGTATTGTAATTGGTCGTAAAGGACATAAGATCACTCTCTGCGTCACATGAGGATTATTTATCAGCCTGTCACAGGAGCAGAAATTGGAGCTGTCAAATGATATTTTTTATGACAGTTAGTCGCTGAATTTCAATAGTTGACAGCTCTCTACAATGTTTAGAATTTAAACTGCAGTACCCGTTTTAGACACTAGGGGTCAGCGATACATACTGCTCCTTAAACTTTTGTGTGTTGGGAACCTTCATGTAAAAGCTGTACCTACTAATAAATACAATGAAAACAACAATATTTAGATTTCAAAAGGCATGAAGTGGAGGAATAATGTAGAAGCCCGTGGTGGTGCTCCCATATTCACCGATAGTTTGTCTTTGGTTGACAACCTGCAGAGTGATCATAACTCTTCCTCTTTCTATAAAGTGATTCAGAACAGAAATCACGGCACAGAGAGTAATGATAGGACTAATAATTCTCTCTGCCACACCTCGTTCTCCCAGACAGAGAAATGAAAAACCTGCAGTGACCAAAAACTTGTCCTCGTTCTCCTCTACCACACTGCGAGAATATGTAAGTATCTGTGCACATGACACGACTTGAAGGTCCAACCCCACCCCTTCTTCTTTGTCTTTTCCTGCAGTAATGGGTGGCTTAATTCCAGCAGCACGATGAACCAGATCCACTGACTTCATGACATCTGAATGTCTGATTCTGC